ATAGATAGATAGATAGATAGATAGATAGATAGATAGATAGATAGATAGATAGATAGATAGATAGATAGATAGATAGATAGATAGATAGACCTCTTCCTGTTGTGAAATAGTGACTAAGTAACTTTTACTTATAGTAAATTTTAATGACTTTAATGATTTTTACACAGGTACTTTAGTACAATTTCAACTAAGTAACTCAACTTTTAGTTGAGTATGTTATTTTAGTACTGTTTCCACCTCTGACAAATGGCATAATATTTTTTTATTTTATGTTGCAGCATTTGGTTAAAAGGGAAAATTTTATAAATGTGTGTTAAGTACAACAGACACCCTGAAAATCATTTATCTGTTGATTAACTGTGAAATAAAACCCTCTTAACAAGGACATTTGACCTTTACCATGAAAGGCCTGGATTCTCTTTTTCTTTTATTTCTTATCATTAAGTCAGTCATCAATTATGTGCAAATTTAGATTAAAAAAAGCATGGAAACCTGAGTCAGAGTCATGTGCAATAACCTCTGCACCAGGAGTGTGGGTGGAAATTAAAACAAAGCAAAGCAGTAAGGTTGCTGTGGCAGCTGAGTGGAAACAAAACAGATGTCAGCTGGTGCAGGCAGCCTGTGTGACAGAGGGGCCTCTGAGATATACGCTGGACGTGCAGCATGATGCTCCTCTGCTGTTCTGTGATATGGGTTAACTAAACTCCCTGGGACCAGAGCTGGCATTGCGATGACATCACTCAACTGTTGAAGAACAGATTTGTGGCTCTAACTCTGGAGGTTTGAGGTGGCCTTTGTTTTCTCTTTTTTCATCTCTAGTGGATGTAATTCTGTCATCATGAAATAAAGCTTTGTGGTACGAGGGAGGAACTGTTCAAGCCACATTTAGAACTGGAATATAATAAAAATAAAGTGGGAGAGTCTACCAAGAACACAATAAGGTTCCTAATGTGCTTTCTGACCCATTACATCCAGATGTTTTATCAGAAGTGTTTTTCTTGCCGCCCACGTCTCATCCAGTCTTTCAACGCACTTTACATATTATCACACATGCCTGTTATCAGCAGAAGGTGCCCATTGTGTGTCCAGATGAGTCTGAAGGGAAAAAAGTTGTGTCACAGTTAAAGAATGCAGACTCCAGAGCCGTTCTGAAAGAAATGCTTTTTCTTCTCCAAACATGCCATGCACATGTCAGGTTGATACTCAGTAGTGATAGCTCACCACATACTGTATGTGTGGCCTTGTGGGTTGGAGTATGTTGTTCTAGCTTAATGATGATGGTTTGCTCTCTTGTCTTGCAGCTGAGATATCAGCATGGTTTGGCAACGCCAGACCTGCAGCAGACACTACCCAACCTGAAGAACTTCCTGGAACATGGTCTGATGGTGCGATGGTAAGGCAAACAGAATTACCTTTTTTTTTTCAAGGCTATATCATGTGTTTACGAAAGAGCATTGCATTCACCAAATAAAAAAATATAGACTCCTGATCTCATAATTACTCAGACTTACACCAGTACCCAACTTTAATGGTGCTTCAGGTTTCATCAACAGGGGATATTTCAAAATAAGTGTCTCATTATATACAGTCAGAACAAAACATTACAGTTGGCATTAATATTAGTATGTCGACATTATGCAGGTATCATGCTGGAAATCATGCTCTTCCTGCTGTACAAGATGCTATGGCTATAGCTAATGTATCTGAAATGTGTTAAATTGCATCCTGTAGAAAGTGAGTCAGCCGCAACAAATATGCATCATTGATGGTTGACAGAAAATCTGATAAGTTATAAAGCTCATTATGTGACACACTTACCATTTGCTTTGAGCACACACTTACTCCCGTTTCTTTCTCTACAACTTTATTAAACTGTGGTGGATGAACATTATGCAGCTTGTTCTGGGCACTCGTTTGTTCGGCATTACACACATACACGTCCAGGACCGGTACCTGCTCAAAATCCTCATATGAGATCAAGATCTTATTTCTATTTTTTTGTTGTTGTTGTTGAATGCAATGCTCCTCCGTACAAGTTTAATACAATAAAAACTGATTTGATTTTTTACACTGGGCTTACAATGGCTTGAACTTTTATAGCACCTTATCAAGTCCACTTGGACCCTAAGGGCTTTACACTTCAGACATTCACCCATGCACACACACGTTCACACACTAGTATTTAATTTATCTCATTAAAAAGTATTTATCAACCAATAGGTAAATTACTTTCTAACACACACATATATCATCAGTTACACAAAATCATAAAACATGTTTACATTATGTTTATTTTTGATTCAATTCATTTATTTGAGAGAAAGGGGCAGATATAATAATATTTTTTTTCTTCTTCTGCTACCTTTCATTTAATTTATGATTTGTATTTTTGTTGTATGTTGAATTTATGTTGTTGTTTTTAAAGAAATGTTTAAACTAAATGAACTGAACTGAACATTATGTTTACATTTAAGAGAGAGCAACATTGAATAAACCTAAATCTAAAAAAACAAGAACAGGCTTGAAATGATAATTTTTCCTTATTATTTAAAATGTGCTTAAAATGTCCCAGTGGAATCAAACTGGACAATTTCACTTTATGCTTRACTGTATTCCATGAAGAATAGGAGGCCTTTTTTTTCCAAGTTCAGCATGAAGTAAAGGGACACTGAAGGAAAAAAAATCTTGTGAACGTAGACTGACATGTTTGAATGTTAATAGCAGGGCTACAGAATAAGGATAGATTTGTAAATAAAAGTGTACAAGTGTAGAAGTCTGTGGGCAGATAATGATGGTCAGTTTACCAGTGAGTACGAGGTACAATGGTGTGTGAAACTTTTAAATTTTACTACATATCGCAGTGCTCCGTGATGAGCAACATCCAACATGTAAAGAGCTGGCCAGAGCATTTATGTATATATCATCATAGTCCAGCTCTGGTAGGAAGGTTGCAGACACAAGATGTGTGCAGGCCACAAGTTTTAGCTTCAATTTCTTTTTAAAGGGATCCATGATTAGTTGTAACATTAGACTTTATTTGATAAACATATTTTAACTGTAAAATAAAGACTGTAAAAATACTGTAGGCTGTTTAGTTTTTATACTTTTTAAACTAAAATTTTAAAAATATATTTTAACACGGACGGGACCATTTTATTTATACGCAAAACATTCTGGGTAAATGATGAAGTGGATAGGTCCTCAGTGTGAGTGAGCCATATCCACCCTGAAGTAAGTAAAGTTTTATTTATATAGCGCCTGTCACAGAAATAAGTTCACAAGGTGCTGTAAGACAAGTCATGCAGCAAACAGTTGTGCTACCTTTAGACAAACAGAAAAACAAAAAAACCACACAAGGGAAAATGAGGGGAAAAAAGCAAAAACATCATATTATATCAACACTGTGACACACTATGGTGTTAATGAAAAAAACCTCTGCATAGGGCAAGTTTAAGCTAGTAAGTGAGTGAGTTTTAAGGGGGCCCGAAGAATCCAATCCCCAAGGCCAGCGCAGCCAAAGTTCAGAATATTGATGGTCAATTGTTCATTCTGTGGGGCCTCAGCTTCCTCAAGAATCAAATCATACGGGTGAGGGAGGAGGGAGGAGGAGGGAGAGGAGAGCTGTGTCGACATGTTCCAACCAGGAAGGAATTAACCAACAGATCCAAGGCCGTTGTAGAGGAGATCCAGATTCTCTAATCAGTTGTTTTGGTAACAGAAGGAACAGGCAGACAACAACAGTTTTCCCTCTGCCTTAATGTCTGCTGGAACTCTCAAGGTGGCGTATCTAATCAGGCAAAATGGTGTGGACACATACCGCCGAGCCTATTCATCTGCTTTCTCCAAGATGAATTCCATCTGCCCAGCAAAGTCCAGGGACCACAGCCGGCCCACGGCCCTCCGTAGAACCGCTTGCAGACCGAGCCCAGCTCGCTCAAGGCACAATGTCCGAGTGCTGATAGAATACAGCCGTCCATCCAGTTGGTCAGTCAGCTAGAAAGTGCAAAGCCACCGACGCTGTTTTGTAGAACACCAGGAGACCACCCAGCCAAACTGTAGAATCCAGTGATCTGAGTCCAAATGTATATCCAGAACAGAGAACAGAGGTCCCGCCCTCGACATGTCCTCCCATGGAAGAAAAATAAACTTTGTTCCAAAAATTTCATTGAGAGACCAGCTAAACAAATCCATAAAAATATCCATAATTTCTAGTTTCGGATGAAAATGTAGAGAAGGCTCTAGCAGCAAAGCAGGGAAAGATAAGGCAGGGCAGGAGAGAAGAGAGAAGCGTCTTACTCCTTCGAGAGAGGAACAAAAAAAATGTAAAAAAAAAGYTTGATCTTGGACAATATCTGACGATCGACCTTTTAAATGAAACCAGAGAGCGTTGACAGAGAGGAGAAGGTTGAAATGACTCAGCCTGTAACTGAAAATGTGGATGGAGGACCTCAGTTTAGCTTGTACACTAGTGCACTACTGCACTAGTGCCGAGCTAATACATATAAGGCAATATGGCATTGGGGCTAACACTAAAGCTAACAGGCTAAGCTGAGGTTCTTCTTCCATGAAGCAGCTCTGTTGTCCTCCATCTATATTTTCAGTTACAGGCCGAGTCATTTTTACCTTCTCCTCTCTGTCAACGCTCTCTGGTTTCATTTAAAAGAGTCGATAGTCAGATTTTGTCAAAGATTAACCTTCAGGGTGGATATAGCTCGCTCACACTGAGGACCTATCCATGTTATCATTTACCCAGAATGCTTTGCATGTAAATAAAATGGCTCTGTCCGTGTTAAAATATATAATTTTTAAAAATTTACAAAACTAAACAGCCTACAGTATTTTTACGGTCTTTATTTTACAGTTAAAATAAATGTTTATCAAATAAAGTCTAATGTTACAACTAATCAGGGATCCCTTTAAATGTGGTCAATGAAACATTTTAAGGAGACTTTTTTATCAATGACACCACCAAGGTATTTACAAGTTTCTACAAGCTCCATGGCCAAGCCTTTAAAAAGACCTAATAGGTGGTTTAGTTTGGGACACATTTTTTTTGGTTTGCAAACAACGTGGTCATTGTTTTGTTAGCATAAGAAAACTTTAAGCTGAAGTAGATAAAATTTGCTTGAGAAATTAATAGTGCTCCAATAAAAAAGTTTTTTGTGACAGAGCAGTTTGTTTTAAACCTTGTGCACATATAAGGTCCAAGTAAAAGACTGCTCTCTAACTACAGAAAACCTCTGAAAATTGTCTGTATCTTACATTAAAAAGAGAAATGTTTGATTAAATGTTTGGTAGCCTTTTGGCTCTTTAAAACAGAAAGCTTTGCTCGTTTTGCTTCCATTGCATTCTTTTGCCCTGTGAGTAACCTTTATACAAACCTGGGAGTTGGTATGAATCAGACTTCAGCTCCACTGCCCTGTAAGACAAAGCTGGCTTTGATCTCCTCTCCTCTCCCAGGGTCAGCAAAGGGGAAAATGTGTATTACACACATTAATTGAATAATCTTTTGTTTTGAAATGAAAGAAGCCATGAAAAGGAAAAGCTTCCAAACCAGCTTTTCATTGGCCCCTCTGCCTAATTGATCGTGGGAGGGTCCATAGACGCATGAGATGAAAAGATGGATCCAATAATCTTAAAGCTATGTTGCTGTGTATATGTGTGTACACGTGCATCAAATCTTTGTATACTAGATGTCTAAATTCAACAGTTCTTTGGCAGAATGTTTTAGCCACAATCTAAGACAGATAGATCCTGGAAATAGAGATCAAGCTTAATTTTTTTTAGTTCAAACCATCAGCTAAATTCAAGAAAAAATCAGAAATTAATAGATTCCAGTTTGTAAATGTCAACAATGACTCCTCTTTTTACACCAGAGATAGTCATGGAGTTCCTTAGGGTTCAGTATTTGGACCAATCCTCTTTACTTTACAGTGGTTTGCAAAAGTATTCATACCCCTTGAACTTTTCCATATTTTGTCACATTACAACCACAAACATAAATATATTTCACTGGAA